TTTGTGACGTCTTTGCCTGGTTTTGGTATCAGCGTTATGCTGGCTTCATAGAATGAATTTGGAAGTGTTGCTTCCTCTTCTATGCTCTGAAATAGGCGTTTGTTTTTATGATACCCATTAGCATTATTGCAGCACCAGTTCTGTCTGCTGCCTACAGACCATCAGCAGGCCGCCTCTTCTCTGTCAAAGGAGCCCTGGTGGCGCAGTGCTTAAACGCTCAGCTGCTAACCGAAAGGTCACTGATTCCAACCCACCAGCCGCTCCAAGGGAGAAAGATGTGGCAGCCTGCTCCTGTAAAGATTACAGCCTTGGAAATTCCATGGGGCAGTTCTACTCTGTGCTATAGGGTCATTACGAGATGGCAATAGGTTTATTTTCAGGTTTCTTCTCTGTCAACAAGGCCTATGAGCAAAGAGCCACTTTAGAAAATGTTTTTTTAAAAAAACCCTAATCTGTACGTTCAAGAAAACCTAGAGTCAGATATGGCTCCATTGTAGCTTTACCTGTTAGGTAATTTCTTTACCATTTACCTTGAGACCTCTTTAAGTTGTGTGTCCTTCATAAAGTTCCATTGTGTTAAGTGTTCTAGTATTTAGAAGAAATTTGACAGAGATTCTTATATATTCCACTGTTACTCATGCAATTAAAGAAGCAGCTCTTTAAGATAATCCTGAGGTAACAATAAGAGTTAAATAGATTTTAAGTATGATATAGATGTTTTGGTTTTGTTTTTTGAATTGACCCTAGAGGCAAGCTTTGTAATTTCTGTGCAGTCTTTGGGATTGTTTTATCATCTAAAAGTGATAATTAGGTTATGTTTTGGCAGATTGTATAGTTTAATTATCCAGTATTTGTTTATAGAATTTGGCCAGGCAGCTAACTTATACATGTAAAATATAACTGTCTTCATAAATATAATTACTTTTGCATTTGTAGCTCAAGGGGAAAGTATTTTAAAACATTGTTTCTCATTAGACAGCAAGTACCTAGAGGTCAGGGACTTCCCCTCATTTTATCTTTGTTACCTCCTACCAAACACACAGGGTTCAGCTCACAGCAAGTGCTTGCTGATTTAATGAATGAAAAACCCTAGGAGATTATCGCTACAGTTTAATATTGATTTATTTTTTCCTGCTTCAGAATTAATGTTATACCCCCAAAGGACAGTCTAATCTATCTAATTAGTATAAAGCAAAAATAATAAAAGAACAATGTAAACCTCTTGTAGTTTGGACATTCTTTGAGGTTCTTAATTTTTAATTTTTAAAATGGAAACGCAGTGTAAGAGTTTGATGGTAAATTTTGTCATTATAGGCCAGTATCTTGCAAACTGCCTGTAATTGGACGAGTGTTTGTTTTTTTTAAACTCTGTTTAATTTCCAATCTATTGTGGACTAATCCTCCTATAAAATACAGTAAAAGTACTGGGGTAACATCAAAATTCTACAAGACTTCTTATACTTGTGGCACGCTGGTAACAGAGGTCCACAGGCTACATTGGGAGTAGTTCTGCCATAGACTTTGCTTGTCTTCTTCACCTGAGCCGAGTTCTGTCACATGTTGATTAACCATCATTTTATGCTACACATTTAATCCTATGGTTTAAACACATTTTTCTAATTTTGCTGTTCTGTTTTTTTTTTTTTGTTGTTAGCTTAATTAAAACTCACAGTCAATGCAGGGAATTTCCTCTGGGTTCTTCAAAAGTTATATTTGCAGATAATTAGTTAAGAGAAAAGTAGGTTCAAGATTTCTTTATGCCTTGCTTTATTCCATAAATGTTTTATGACATATAGCCTCCTTAATGCTTTTTCAGAATACACAGATACTGGAGGATTAAGTGCTACAGAAAAGTATTCAAATCTAAGAGACATTCTCTACAATTACCGTAA